GTCACTGAAGGAGATATTTGAGTGTGAAGGTACAAAGTCTGATAGTTGTTGGTAGAGTGTCTGGTGTTGGAGTTTGGTAAAGACCTGGGCAAAGGTGAAGCTGGCAACTGAGCAAAGGGAGGGGTGGTTCCTGTTTCCTGCCCACTGAATTTGTCAACAGCCTCACCAGCAGTCTCAACCTCCTGAACCTACCATGGAAAGAGGGAGGCCATGATGATGGCCCTCCCTTCACTACCAGACCAGGTCCTCTAAGCCAGATGACAGCTCCAAACCTGGTCAATGCTTCTTTGACTGAGGAAAGCTTCATATCTGACAAAAAGGTGCCCTTTCAGCAACTGTTCCATTGATGGGTGGTACAGAAGTGAGGACAGATGCTGCAGGAGAGTCAGGCATGGAAACAGGTGGGACGCCAGATGATGTGGGACCTCTTACAAGTGTACTGGGATCACTGCTAACATTGGGCATGGTTGGGACTGCGGACTCAGTTGGTGCGAGAGAGTTGGGAGAGGGAATGGGTTGTGAGTGTCTAGTGGGTGCTGGGTCGTTAACAGGAAGGAGGGAAGAGAAGAAGGGGTAACAATATGTTTCACTCTATGTACCACCTTTTGGATGTCACCATTAGAACATGAGGTAGTTGGCATGGGGATAGAACTAGCATTTGCAAGGTGAACTGTGCCCATTGCAAGCAATAAGTGTGAGCAAATGACCAATAGCCATTTTCGAGATTTGACAGAGAATAAAATGAGAGAAGGATTCAGTGAATGACTGAACATCCATTTTATACTGGTTCACTGGCAAATCTTCCAGCCACAACTTGACTGCACACAGAAAAAAAAGCTACCAGTAGTCATATACATGCCAATTCCTGGCAGTGTAAGACACAATAGGTATCACAAGATGGTAAGGGTTGACTCAGGGTTGGGAGTAGAAACAACACAAGATGGTGAAAAAGGGGGAAGCACTGATGAATTTTAATCCATTTGTCATCCAAAAAAAGTGATCCCTTCATAATTTGGCCAATCTACAATCCGACTACAATTCTGATTATTTCCATATTTTATTGCTTCTTCAGTTAGTATAGCCAAATCATCTATGTTTGGAAATGCATACTGGACCCTGACAACAGCACACCAATCTTGTCACCAACAGTTACTCTGATTTTTCATAATGCATAGCCATACCTTCTGTATTTGGAGATGTGCTCTGGATTCTGAAAATAGCACCTGACATTGTCACTAGTAATGACTATTTTTATCTATACATTATTACTATTTTTCATTTAAAGGTGCCAATTTCTATATTTGGAAGTCTGCCCTGGACCCTGAAATAAATCACATGATCAATTATGTTACTTATCATTTGGATCAATCCTGGGACTAGTCCTGTCTGAAAATCCTCAGGAATACACCCTCACAGGACTCATAAAATGGCTGGCACACCAGCCAAATTAGTGTAATACAATTACATTTAGACCACAATACATATTCAGAAAGAACCAGAAAATCACCCATGGTCCATTCATTTTGCACTCAACTGTATGTCCAACTTTTGAAATGTGTCATAGCCCATTAGTAAACTTTGTAGTCTATTTCTGACTTTTGTAGTGCATTATTCATTTTTGTAGAGGTCTTTATCTTCGTCAACAGTCTACCCATGAAAGCAATGTTCACTGCCTGGCAGCCTCCTTCTCTCTTAGAGACTCTGCTGCTCTCCTTGCCGTCTGTCACACACCTTCTGAAACATCAAATATGCCCTGCTATGCTTGCACAACAGCCCTTCCTGACATCAGAACTCTGATGATTTGCATCCAGAATGCACATGCCAGTGGTGCAAAGATATCAGTATCCACCAAGCCCATCTTACACACTCCTACTCCTCAGCACCAGCCCTTACCACAATTACCTTTGCATTTGAACCCCTCCACAATTGCCTTTGGAGAATGACGGTTCATCTGGCTGGACGCCATTTCAGAGAGATTCACTATTCACCCCTATTCAGTTGTCTCCAGTACAACCATCATCTCCCCATTTACCCATGGAGGAACTAACAGTCTCTTTGCCCCAAAATACAGACTGCTACCTCCCCCATGTTGAAGCCACTCCACCAAGATCACCTTTGCTTCAGAATAACTCCAACTCTCCACCTTTACAGAACTTTCCATCACCACCTCACCACTACCACTATCCTCATCCATCCCAACAGCACTCTCATCCATGTCTTCACTGCCTGCAATCTCTTTCTGGGCAAAAACCC